ATACTGCGCAGAACCCTCAAACTCCCAGGCCTCTGATAGAGGATCCGAGATTGAGGAAGACACGTACCACCCATAGGGGTGAGAGGGGATGGATGGATGGATGGATGGGTGGATGGATAGATATGGATATATAAATTCCCCTCTCACCCCTATGGTTGGTACGTGTCTTCCTCAATCTCGGATCCTCTACCAGAGGCCTGGGAGTTTGAGGGTTCTGCACAGTATCTTAGCGGTTCCTAGCACTGCGCTCTTCTGGACAGAGAGCTCTGATGTTGTTCCTGGGATCTGTTGGATGGATGGATATCTATATTTGTATCTTTATCTATATCTATATCTATATCATCTATATTTATCTATCTATGGATATGAATAAATATATGGATATATATAAAACAAAGGCTATACATTCTGAGCTTTCCATTTAATTTATTGAATCTAAAAAATAAGTGGGTCATGGTGCCTGGCATGTACCAGATTAGAAATCAAAGCTATATGGGGATATTTTCAAGTCATTAATTCTATAGATGAAAAAGGAATACAGGCAAAATGCATATATACTGTAACGAGCAAATGACGTGTTCAAGCGCATCTTTTCCTCTTTCACAAGTAGATACTGTGCACATAGTAAAGCATTCTGGTACATGAAGAACTTTGAAGTGCATATCATCTCTCTGCCGCAATAGATCACACAGGTCACACAGATGTTTATTTTTGTTCAAATTCTTGAAGATCTTTTGTCAGATCTTTTGGGTGGCATTCAGTGAGCCAGAGTTGCCCATCAGTGTATACAGTGAAGCTGGGGCTTTATTTTTAAAAGATCTTTTTCCAAATTCAATAGAAGTATTATTTAATCTATAATATGAACAGGGATAAAAGCTGACAATATCCAATTTTTTTTGTAAAAACATTTTTCTTTTGCTGAATTAATAAATGAGTTAAGCTTGAAAAGTTACCCTGGAAACATAAGAAATTTTTAAAATGTAAGTTGCTTGTGTTCCCCTTTTTTCTTTCTTTGAGAGTTAAGTTTCTCAAAAATAAATAAATAAAATTAACTCTCAGTTTCTCCTTAGAGACAGAAATTAAGATCAACAAGTATAGGTGTGATATTCTTATACAGCCTCTTATATTATGTGAAATACAAGGGGAATATCATCTTATGAGATAGGAAACAGCATTAGCATAATCAAATCTTGAAGGATCTACTATGAATTGGGAACAAAGAATAGGAGAATGAGATTGATAAAAAAAAGAATAAACCTGTAAGCAGAATAACACTCTCCCTACTATCTGTGCAGGAAAGATCTGTTGTTGAAATTGGGGATCTGCTATTTTAAAGAAAGATCTTGACAGAAGAATATACAATGAAATCTCTTCCATTGATACTAGCTTTTTAAAATCTATTTGGAGGAAGTAAGGTTACCTTCTGACTAAAGCAGATTCAAAACATTTGCAGCAAGCCAAGATACAAACAACATTTTCCCCACATAGAGAAAAGGGGTGTGTTAACCTGATTAACAAAATCAGGTTTTCATGAATTTTTTATGAGTTTCCTCCCTTTCGGAAGCAGATTTCTTTCTAAGAAGCCATGCTAAGAAACAAAGGGGTATGTGTGTGTTTATTTTTATACATTCCTCAATCTTCTGCAGAAACTGCCATTTACTTTTAGGACAAGCTTAATGCTTATTATTTCTTTGACTCCATTGGCTGAACTTTGATCCAAAGTTAATACAGAGCTACTCTTTTGTTTGATGCTTATTTCACAGATGAAAACAGTGTGTCCTCTTTGTGCTCATAGATTTTCATTATTGTACAGCTCTGGCAAAATAGACCAATAAGTTAAAAACAAAAACCTGCCTTTGAATGGCAAATTAATAAGTGATTATTATCCTTCGACAATCTCTAAAAATGTTTCATTTACCCTCAGTTAGCAGTTATGTATATATTAAATGCCAGGAGGAAAAACAAAGAAAAAGAAAACTGTAAGATGCATCATAGCATTGAGTTTAATTCCCTTTTAACTGAGGAACCCCATAATGACTTATGACAAATTTGCCAGTCAATTCTTAGAAAAAGGAAAAGCCAGAATTCTGTATCTATGTGAACTCCAATTTCTAGAGAAGTGACAAGCACTTCCATACTTGTTACTTGATCCACAGCTGTTCACATACAAGACCTGCCAAGTACTAGTTAGGTTCTGCTAAACTAATAATACAGGTCTGTGCTGTTTTGCTTTTGCTGAGGCTCTCCGTCATCCTGCTCTTGCTAATTCAGGTTTTTTTTTAAACACAAATAAACCAATTCTAGCACTTCTGTTTTTCCCACCTCCAGTTAACAGTGCCACAGATTGTTATTATGGCACACTTATGTATGGAAAGAAAATTTTAATAATGCTGCCTCTTTTTGACCCTCAGCCACAGCTATGGGCATTAAATGGATGTTATGATTCTGGTGTGCACCTGGGAGGTATGATGAATTACCAAAAGGTGTTGTGGGAGAGAGAAAGGCAAAATGCACACCTGAAAAATCAAGTGTTTTTGTGAAGAAGGCAGGAGGAAAGAAAAATCAGTCTCCTCATGTAGCTATTATAGGAAACATTATTTAATTATTCAAATTCTGCTTGTCTTTCATGTACTGTTCTCTTCAACACTTGCCTCATGCCATCAAAATGATCTAACCTCCCTATGACAATTTTTAAGCAATAGCATATAAAGAATATAGAGAGATTGCTGCTTGGCCCTTGAGAGTTTAGATTGTAATAGTTTTGTAAGGCTAACCATCCAGGGCCCTTTGCAGCTTCCATTTAATGACATAAAGCGCTCCAAGGAATCACTACCACTTTAGAAGATTTCACGTGGGAACTATTAGTACATGTTACCAGCTTGGAGAAAGACACGTTTACTGGGATTTCTTCAAGCTAGCTAGAGCTTCTCCGAATTTTATATTTAAAGATTTAGTAGTGCTTGTTTTAAGC